AAACAACAAACCAATCTTGACTTGGAAAGTGCAGTCCTTCATAAAGTTTTGAATGAAATGGGTAAATTACATCACAATCCAGTGCTGTAAAAGTCATGAAGAGTTCCATGCTGCCAAGTTCTATCGTACACCTTTTCGATGTCAAAGAAGATTGAAACCACATGATTTCTTTTCACAAATGCATTGTGTACTGCAGTTTCTAAAAACAGGGCATTATCTTCCCTTAAGGAAACCACTTTGGTAAGGCGATAGGCAATGATTAGTCTCCAGATAGTAGGTGAGACGGCGATTTGCCATTTTTTCCATGATCTTGCAAAGGCAGCTAGTGAGAGCGATGGGGCGATAATTTAAAGGATTTTTCGGGTCCTTGCCGGGTTTTGCTATAGGGATAACAAAGGCCTTGGACCAGGCAGTTGGAAAAATTTGTTCCTTCTATATTTTATTATAAAGAGCAAGCAGGACCACTAGAGATTCATAGGGCAGGTGCTTTATCATCAAATAACTTATGCCATCAGGACCAGGGCAAGTCCTATCAGTGCAAGATATTACACTTCTTAATTCAAACATGGTGAGATCTTTATTATAAGATTTTGCATATTATAATGGGAAAAGTCGATATGAATCCTTTCCAAGCACATCTTTGTGGGCAGAAGATCTTTTGAGTAATTGCTACTCCCAAATACAGCAGCAAATGTATCACCTAAAGCATCAGCTATTTCTTCTCTAGTGCTTATAACATTTCTGTTTTTTTCTAAAACAGAAAAGGAATAATCATTATATAGTCCAGAAGGTTTGTGGACTCTTTCCCTAAACTGTTTGCTAGACATTGAGGAGGTAATAGTGGATACGTAGGCTGCTCGTGATTTTCTCTGACTTTTCAGCCTCACTTTTCTTGCATTCGCCTTAGCTTTTTTAAAGGCAAGAAGATTTTCCAGTATCGGATATCGGCAAAAGATACGCCAAGCTTTCTTTTGCTCTCTCAAAGTTTCATGACAATCACTGTTCCACCAGGGTTTAGGGAACTTTGCCGAGGACTTCAGAATACAGAGTTCAGCTGCTTGTACAATAATATCAGAGATCATTTTTACTGTTGTATTAATGTCTACATCAATAACTATTTCTTCAATCAGCACAGCACAAGATGCAAAAAGATCCTAATCAACTTTATCATAATGTAAGTGTGGTTGTTTTGAGATCTTTGATTTTCCTGTAATATTTAGAATGACTGGGAAGTGGTCACTATCGTAGAGATTCTCCCCTACACTGAAAGAGTAGAAAGGTAGTAGAGACGGAGAACAAAAAAACCAGATCAATTGCATGAAATGTTCTAGTTGACAGACGAAAGTAAGTGTATTCTCCATTATTAAGGAGACAAATAGAATGATCTTCCATTAATTTTTTGACCTGCCGGCCAATTGAATTAGCTTCCCTACTTTCCCATAAGGTACAATGGGCATTAAAGTCACCTAAAAGCAAACACAGTTCTGGGAACTGCTCTATTATTCTATCCAACTCTCGCTGATCAACATGCTCATATGGGGGTAAATAAATGGTGCATACAGAGATTGAAAAACGTAAATTAATCTGAACCACCACAGCTTGAAGGGAGGTTGCCAAAGGGAGAGCAGTGTATGAGTGATTGTTGGAGGCAATACGGCCCCCACCACCATTGGCACGATCCACAGATGAGTTGTCCTTTCTTACTGTGGTATATCTACGTATCTTAGCATGTCTGCTTGGTTTTAACAAGGTCCCCTGAAGCGCAAGGTAGGCAGGTTGATGCATGTTTATTAAATCCTTGATATCATCCAGGTTTTGAAGAAAACCCCGGCAATTCCACGAAATAAATGTACCCATTATGGATGCTTGTTTTGGCGGTGTTGTTGTTTTGACTTTCGAGGCAAAGGGCGTTTCGGAAGGGATAACCTTTCTGCAATGTCCATTTCGTCTAAGTCATCTAGGCGTCCTAAACTCATGCTTGCAATGGAACTTTGACTGGGGGTCCTGGGTTTTTGCTTTTTTTTCTCTTTGATACCATCTCTATGTTTATTCTGTTGGGCATCCTGTTTTCCTTTGGGTGCAGTCACCGGCATACTACTTTCAACATCAGGCCTTTTTCCCTAATTTTTGGTTTCTAGCATCTTCTGTCATTGCTAGTTCTTTTGTCTGTGAAGTTATTGTGGTTTGCGTTGATATTGATCTGAATGATTTTGTTGCGGATGCATAAGATTTATAAGTTCTTGGCTGATTAGAGAGAACAAGTCTTTTGGCTTCTGCAAATATCTTTTGTGTAACTTTAATGTTTTGAATTTGTTTTTCTGTCTACCATTTCGAACATGATCTTGAAAAAGCTGGATGCTTGCCTTTACAGTTTATACACAAGAGGGCAGCAGAGCAGCCTTCACTAGCATGGCCTACGATGGAACATTGAGCGCACATGAGGCTACTGCGACAAGAGGTCTTTCCATGTCCAAAGCGCTGACATTGAAAGTAACGCATTGGATTTGGTATATATGACCTGACTGAACAGTTTAGGTATCCAGCTTTGATGTTTTAGGCAGGTTAGGAGATTTGAATGTAAGTATGACATGTTTAGTGAGAATGAGATAACCTTCTTTCCATATTTTGATCCTATGAGCACCACACACATTTTGATCTGGCAACTCTTTAACAAATTCCTCTTCAGTTACTGACAGTAAATCTATTTCAGAGATTACTCCTCAGGACGAATTTAGAGTGTTATGTGGCTTAACTGCAATGTCTGCTTGTCCTAATTTAGTTATTTCAAAAGATATTAGACTGCTTTCCGGACACAGTTTCTATCAAAGGTCTAAAGACCGAGTCTCTTAATATTTTCAGTTTCCTAGAGAAGACAAAAGATGTGTTTCTTATTAGAAACGAGGAATTTTTTTCAATTTCAGAGCTGGTATAATAAGAAATGTGGACAAAGTACATATGATACAGTGCTTTCTATATCGCTTCTTAGTCTTTTGGTCACATTGAAGTATCGGGTACATTGTTGGAGCAGGAAGGTATCATACATTCATATAAAGGAGAAAGATTCGGGTCCGACAGCCCCCCCATCATGGAGCCCAACAAGGGGACGCAGATTCCTACGCCAGGGCTAGCCGGACCATATGCAAAATGAAGTCCCATGTTGGCTTTCCCAAAGCAGTACACGAGAGCTGTCCCCAAGCCACGACACAGGACTGTGACCATACGATGGACACCCGTGAGGAGGACAAGGTGCCTCCCCTTTAATGAAGCAGAGGCCAAAGCGTGTATGGTACAATATCTTGCCTCACTATCAGGACCCACCTTTCCAGTGACACGGGTCTCCACCACGGCAAATCTGTGGGCTTTCTTCCACTCTAAGCTAGGGAAAGGCTGTTCCAGTTTTATGACAGCCCGAACTTGAGAGGAAACCACATAGGGAAGGAGAATGGGAAAATTGCAGTTTAGAGGAGAGGAGGCAGAAAAGGAAGAGAGATCACTGGGGCTCCAGGATTGTGACACTGGATCACCGAGACAGTAATCCCCAGAAGCATCTTCACCTGCTATGCTTTAGCTGGGCATGTTGGAACGGCCTTCACGCCTAAGGTGGCGCTACCAGGAGCTATGCTCTCGACGTGCTTCGCCCATTCCGCCCAGTGACACACACCCCGCCATGTTGAGGTAGCATAACAGGATTTGGGCGAGGGGGGGATATCTTGATAGATTTAACATCTAACAGCAAACTAAATATCATGTTTCAAAAACAAAAACCTACTGGAGCTTTGGCTGCATACAAGATGAATTCAAAATCTTGTCAGAGAAACCAAAATTGGTACTACTTCTTTCTCAATTACACACTGCTATAAAACGGGATTCTTCACATTATCAGGTACCAAAACAATATACGGAGAATCTGCATAAATGTAGAATAGGGCATTCACTTGCAATTACCAAACTGAAAAAATGCACAAAATTGCAACCACAGGTATTTCATTAAACATTTTTTTAAAAGCTATTTCTTAATTTAAGCTTAAATTGCACTATTTTTGCCTTTTTTTTTTTTTTTTTTTTTTTTTTATGTAATGCTGTTTTTAAACATCAGTAACTTGCAAGATATAGAATAGACCTAAGGGTCTCCATACAAGAAACGATTCTAAAAGGGCTTAATGAGTCGAGAAGTTTGGGAACCACTGCAATAGACTGTTAAATTTTATAAAAAAAAAAAAAAAAAAACCAACATGCATGCTAGCTTTTTTAAAAAGTACAAATCTCAGCAGTTTTTACACTACAGAATTCTGACTAATTTGAAAATAAAAATGATGTATTCCTGTAAAAATGATAACTAGATTTCTTTACTGATAACACTATAACATACATTCCGAAAATAATACCAAACCTCCTCCCCTTCTTTTAAACATAATTTGCATACCAGATTATAAATTCCAATATACTAAATCATATTTATCGTTATTTTTATAATCAATCCACTTTCAAGATCTAAATATAAATATTTATAGATTTTGCTAAAAATGTATAAGGCCCACCAGCGGCCGAGCGGTAAAGTCGCTGAACACTGGTAGTTCGGTCCGAGGTTCGAATCCCGCGAACGGGCTGGCTGCATGGGTGTTTTCGTGGTTTTCCCCATGTGTAACGTGTATACGAGCCAGTTTCCCTTAGAAAGTCCTCCACGAAGGCATCCCGCCTCTTAGGCAGATAGCCCTAGTGTGCTTTGCCGTAATTAAATACACACCACTAAAAATGTATAAAATTACAGAACAGCCAAAAATTTAATAATCGATTCTGCAAACATGTGCAAATGATGAAAAATTGTTTTCATCATTATATGTTTATTAATTTTTAATTTTTAAAAATTTACACATAATACACAGAAGAAAATATATATTGTACTATTCAAAAAAATTTTAAATGCATAACAATGGCTCCGAGAAAGGCATTCAAGGTGCATTAAATTATAGAATTAACAATTAAAAGAAGTCAATGCTTACCTTGACCATCTTCCCTAAATACCAACTCACGTTTTTCAGTTTCATTTTCATTCTTTCCCCGCCTTCTATTCTTTCCTCCCTTTCCTAGTTTAATAGGAAAGTAAGTGAATTAGAAAAAGAACTTAAAAAACTTAAAAAAAAAAAAAAAAGACTGAAGATAAGAAGTAGATCCTCTTATAACAGAGCTGTGTCAAAAGTTATGGCCATCCACAGAAATTCATAATGATTATAAATTAAAACATTTTACTGCATTTCAACTCTCCATAAATCCAGTTCTGGTTATGTACTTTCACACATAAGAATCACTGTGTAGTATAAATTTACTGATAAATACCAATAAAATTATTCCAAATATGAAATAATTTATAACTTCTTGTATGAAAATAGTACATGTGTACCAACAGCTGACTGATCTACTTACAAGAGGCCATCTCTCCCACGATATTGAAAGTCTTTTAATGCCTGGTTAAATAATTAATGATTACATAATTAAATGTAAATTTAGTTATTTTTCAAAATGAACATACGAGGCAATTTTCATGAAAGGGCACAAATTCAACTACCAGTACTTTAAAAAATAATAATATGAGTATTTACATATTATTCCACCACTAGAAATGTTAGTACAGTAAAAGGCAATTATTTAGCATTCAACTAATCAAAAAGCTCAAATAACCAGAATATTTTTGAATTCTAGAAACTTTTTTTAATATAAAATTAACAAAATAAGAGAATTGTAGCTCCAATATAAAGCAAGAATAGGACTATGATTTGAATCAAACATAAATTGTTGCCAAACAATGCTATTTAGCACCAATAATGAATAAGTGTGATGTAATGCTTTGAACCCAATTAATTCTTGACAAGTCAGTTTAATTTTTTTAAACACAATTGACTATAACTAAGTCAATTGCTGTTTCTCTGCTTTTCAATACCATTTTTTTAACAAATTATTAAAACCTGGCATTTGTCTTTAATGAAAAACATGCAGTAGAGTATTTTCAAATTTATGGGATCCTGGCATTAAAAAAAAAAAAAAAAAAAAAAAAAAAAAAAAAAAAATTGTGATTCATATGAAAATGGATAAACATTTGCTACAACATGAAAAATTATCACAAGCAACTTTTTTATATTCTATATCCAAACTCAAACTTTAGTTCGATTAACTATATGTATATGTTATATGTTGATTAACTAAAAGCAATCTGTTCCTTCAAATTTCTGCCAGAATGACTGATGCAAGTTTAGCGAGATCTCTGTCGAATTTTCATGGTTGATAGCATTTCGTAATCAAATGTGATATTTTACTTCAGCGTTTATGTCTGGAATGCCCTTTTTTCTTGACATCTCACATACAACTTAAATAACAAAATACTTGAAATTTTTTTTTTTTTTTATTTCATACCAATTTTCACCTAACCCGATTATTTACATGATGGATGATCTCATTTAATGCTATTTCGTATAACGCTCTAATATGATGGAACATAACCCCCACATTATCAAGACAAGACGGTTTTACTGTAGTTATATTAATATTACATCATTAAAATATCTGATGGATACTAAGCCAATATCTTATGGTAATTAAACTCTGTAACCAATCCTTTAATATAAACTCTGCTATTAATATAAACTATGTTGGACTAACTGTAGCAACTCTGGTGAGTAGCCTGAGAAATACTTCAGTAAAAACCAAGTAATGAACCTGTTAGTTGTATCAGACTCATGCTCTGTAATATTCTTAAAATTACATATGATGTCCATGTGTATCTTAAACCTATTAATAAACTGTTACACTATAAAGGGCTCTTTTATGACCCCATCCAAAACAACCTCCCTTATAATTGGCACCCAAAGCAAGGTTTAAACCCACAACCCCGAGAGGTTCAAACCCACAAGCCTGAGATTAAGAGTCTTGTGATCTATCGACTGAGCTAGCCCGGCCACTCACGTAGCAGGCGAGCATTCTACTACTGAACCACCGATGCAGAATGAATAATGGCATGAAATTGACATGCTCTTATCTGAAGGAATAATTGAAGAATGCAAATCACCTTATGCATCCCCAGTTGTTTTAATACTGAAACCTAATAGTACACCTCTGAATAGATTACCAGAAATTGAACGCGATCACAGTTTCGGATTCCTACTCACTTCCAAGAATGGATGGCCTGTTACATGAAGCAAAACCAACTATTTTCATATCAACCCTTGATCTTCGTGCAGGTTATCACCAAGCGAAGGTTCATACTGATTATCAAGACAAGACGGCATTCATGTGTCCCTTCAGAACATATTGTTTCTTACGAATGACTTTTGGTCTTTGAAATGGCTCAGTAATATTCCAGAGATTGATAGATCGTTTTCACAAGGACTTGAGGACATCCTAACCCTCACCTATCTGGACAGCATAATCGTTTTATCAGAATCATTCAATCCAATCTTTTCCAATCTCAAAGCTATTTTCAAAAGACTTTTGCTCTTCAAACTTCATACAAACAGAGAAAAGTGCCACTTCTCTTCTTTCCATGTCAAATATTTGGGATTTTGGATCACACGAAAAGGAATCAAAGTTGATCCAGAAAAAGTTTTCTCTATCCAGAGAATGCCACCTCCCGAAAATGTCAAGGAACTCCAATCCTCCCTTCAAATGTGTTCTTGGTTTAGACTAGCAGTTCTCAAACTTTTGACTAGCATGTATCATCTAAACCAGTGCTCCGCAACCGGTGTGCCGCGGCACACTGGTGTGCCATGAGTAGGATATAGGTGTGCCGCAATCAAATACATGTATTTGACATTTTGCAATTTTTATCATGTATTTAATACACAATGACAATTGTTTTCCTTAATAAGTCTATTTTAAATGTTTTTATATATTTCAGTTGTGTGGTTGTGTGTGTGATTGTAAGTGTGTCAGCACTTGAATTTTTCGGCACTTCCTGAAACTCGGAATTCTTTGGTGTGCCACGAAATTCCAGAAAGATTTTTGTGCGTCGCAGGTGAGAAAAGGTTGCAGAAACTGATCTAAACAACAATCAAAAAACTAGTACGACACTACATTTATAATGATTATTTTTTGCTTTCTCAATAGAAATATTATAAAAGTACATACTTTGCCATTTGCACAATCTATGGCTATTTCACTCATGTCCATTAATTAAGGATATTCGGAGTCATGAGGAAATTGAACTCTAAATAAACTATCACCTGTAAAATCACTACACAATCTTCAGAATCATATGCAAATTTCAGGAAAGTAACCAGATGACACCGATGGTACGTCACATGACGAGGGTGTAAGAGAGTGATATATAAGGAATACAGGCAAAGAAGTAAAAATTGTTCGCAGGCGCTTTATAAACATTTCAGTGCAATAACCGAATATTTATGACACAAAGGACGCATTTGGATGATTTTTTACGTGGTAGAATTATTGGCTGTCTGGAATGTGGGCGTACCCAACTGGAAGTTGGAACTTGGATTTGACCAGAGTGTCATCTCCAGGCTTTGGCAACGATTCCAAGATGATGGTAATGTGAGTAGACGTTACACCACAGGTCGCCCCAAAGTTACAAAGCCGAATGAGGACCGGTATTTGGCAGTTATTGCCAAAAGAAACAGGCGGAGCACAGCCTCAGACCTGTCTTATCAGCTCTCTTCGGCCACTGGTACAACAATTTCAAGGCAGACCGTGTACACACGCATAGGGCAGATTGGTCTATATGCTCGTAGACCTGTCAGATGCATTCCACTTACTGCAACTCACTGCCGCCTGCGGTTAGCCTGGAGTAGAGCGCATGCATTGTGGACACCGCAACAGTGGGCTTGTGTGATGTTTTCCGACAAGTGCAGGTTTAGCTTGCAGTCTGATTCTCGCTGGACTTTCATATGGAGAGCTCCAGGTACCCGTTACCACCAAAAAAACATCATTGAACAACACCGTTACGGTGGTGCAGGAGTGCTCGTCTGGGGTGGAATTATTCCGGGTTCCAGAACTGACCTGCATGTTCAAATTGGAACCATGAAAAGCCAAATCTATCGGGATGTCATTCTGGAACAACATGTACGTTTGTTTCGGGGCGCCATGGGCGCATAATTTGTGTTTATGGATGACAACGCCCGTCCTCACCGTGCAAACATCGTAAGCGAATGCCTTCAATCGCAGGATATCACCCGTATGGACTGGCCAACTTTCTCACCAGACTTGAATCCAGTAGACCACGTGAGGGATATGCTTGGCCGACGAGTTGCAGCCCGTCAACCTCCTCCTACATGTCTACCGGAACTTCAGAGAGCATTGCTTTTTGAGCGGTGTAATATCCCCCAAGATCAGATCGGTAATTTGATACTCAGCATGCCTAGGCGTTGTACGGACTGTATTGCATCGTCTGGGAGACAAACAATGTATTAACAATCATACCAACCATGTAATATTGGTTTTTTGTAAATAGGTTTTTTTTTTTTTTGTAATTTGCTCCAGGGAAAGAAACTCGATAATTTTTTTAATAATATCAAACATATAGCTCTTTACCTTTTGTTTAATAAATAAGCTTTACAAATAAGTCAAATTTGTTTTGCTTATAACTCTTCCTTTGCCTCACTTTGTATTATCCTTAATTTATGGACATGAGTGTATATTAAATATGCACACTTAAGGGGACTCGGTACCCCAAACTCAAAGAAATTACCGACTTTCCATTTTTTGCTGGAAAAGTACCTTAATACTCTTACAACACTAAAGAGAAATTTTGAAATAATCTGACAATAATATATGCTATAAAAAAAGCTTTTAAAAATTTCAACACCCCTTTAACTGCCACACCCCCTCTGTTTTTTTTTTTTTTCCCTTTCAACTTCTTAATTTCTTCAGTAACTTACTAAAAATCAGTGTAAATGAAAAGGAGTGTAATTAAATGACTCTACCAAAAAACTCTGTTTATGTGTACAGTCAAAAGTCTTTAATCCGGACGTCCATAATCCGGAATGATCTATAATCCGGACCTCAAAGCTACAAACTTTCTGCGCATGTGTAAATGCATAATACCTTTACGCATGTGCATACGTGTTTATGGATGCGCGTT